CGTGGGGGTGGGGGAGAGGTTAGGTGAAGCTAATATATACATACATCTAGCAGGGGTAGGCCAAACTCAATCCAGGGATAGATAACGGCAACCAACTAAATAAGAGGGTGAAAAAAAAAGATGGGAAAAAAGCATGAGTATCGGTGAGCAGGGCACTAATCCACCCAAGAAGAGGGTATTGTTTATATCTTCACAGGAGAGGGAGAGAGAGACCAGGCTTCAACCCAATGCACCAAGACATGAATACAACATATCTGCACGTACCAGGGAACCAATAGAGAGGTCTGTGGGGCCGGCCACAATCCCAATTATGTGGACATCCCCCACACCTCAGAAGAATGAACTTCAGAGGACAGCACTGGGGTACAGCATCGGACTAGAGGACACAGGAGAAATGCAAAGGGATGGAGAGGGAGGAGAAGACATCCTGGCCCATCAAGCCCCAAGGACGATGTTCCTGCTCAGAGCATACAACGCACAGGGAGGACCGTTGGGCTGCCCCTCCCCTCCCCACCCCACCCCCACGGGACACGGCATCCCTCACTGAACCCTGATGCTGCAGGGGACAACACTGGAGACAAAGTGGGGGAAGAGTGCACAGTCTGGCCCCATCACACTGGGGCGAGGCACTGAGGGCATGCAGCAGAGCAGCAGGGGGAGCAGACTGATGAAACTCTGGGGAATACCAAAAACAGACTTGGGAGACAGAGTGTGGCAACCCATCAGACTGGAAAACAATCGCAAAAGCCAACAAACAGACCTTGAACTTTTTATAGGCTTTTCCATTTTTATAAGTTGCTTTCTTTTTGTTATTGTTACTTTGTGTTTGTTTTTTGCTATTGTTGTTACTGTTTTGTTGATTTTGACTTCCTTTGTTGTTTTATTTGGCTTCGCCTGGTTTTTTGCACTTTTTAATATATCTGCATGTCTATCTAGATAAGATAGGAGGGATACATAATTCAGAGATGAAAAGAACAGGACCAATGGTTTCGGGGGGATACGAGAGAAAGGGAAATGGGAGAAAGGAAGGGGAGGCAGGACCAAGGAAAGAATAAGTGAACTAAAATCAATGGAAGGAAGGTTGTAGGATGCCTAGTGGGGCTCAATCAAGGGCAATGTAGCAGTAAGGAATTACTAAATCCGAATGAAGGCCCAACATGATAGTTGGACAAGAAGGAAGTACAAAGGAAATAGAGGAAAGAACCAGGAGGCAAACGACATTTATAGAGGCTTAAATACAGGCATGTACATATGTGTGTGTACATATGTACATATATATGTAATGAGAGGGGAAAAGAACTATGAACTCATATCTATGTGTTAAGAATTAAGGTTGCAGATGGACATTGGGCCTCAACGCAAGTACTCCCTTAACACAAGAACACTTTGTTCTAACAATCCGTCATTCTGTGATGCTCACCTACCCTGCACGATTACTGAAGAAAAAATGGGTGCATAGGCAAACGTGGTGAAGAAAGCTGATGGTGCCGGGCTATCAAAAGATATATCATCTGGGGTCTTAAAGGCTTGAAGATAAACAAACGGCCATCTAGCTCAGAAGCTGCAAATCCCACATGGAAGAAGCACACCAGCCTGTGTGATCATGAGGTGTAAATGGGATCAGGTATCAGGCATCAAAGACCCAGAATAAAACCATACCCAAGGTGAATGGGGGGCTGGGGGGCATGGAGTGGAGACCCAATGCCCATCTCTAGACAATTGGACATGCCCTCACAGAGGGGTCACAGGGAAGAGATGAGCCAGTCAGGGTGCAGTATAGCACCCATAAAACACACAACTTTCCTCTAGTTCTTTGGTGCTTCCTTCACCTCACTATCATGACCTCAATTTTACCTTACAAATCGGATTAGACCAGAACACTCACACTGCTACAGATAAGAGCCCACGACACAGGGAAACCAGGATAGATAAAAACCCCTCAGAGCCAACAAGTAGAGTAGAGTTACCAGGAGGATTAGGGGAGGGTTGGGGGAGAAAGGGGGAAATGATCACAAGGACCAAACTAGAACCCTCTCCCAGGGGGCAAATAATGGAAAAATGGGTGAAGGGCAATGTAGGACGATGTAAGATGTGGAAAAAAATAATCTATAACTTATCAAGTGTTCATGAGGGAGGGATGGTGGGGGAGGGAAGGAGGGGGAAGAAATGGGGAGCGGATATCAGAGGCTCCAGTGGGAAGAGAATCCTTTGAAAATGATGATGGCAGCATATGTGCAAATGTGCTTGACACATTGGAGGAATGTATCTTGTGATAAGAGATGTAAGAACCCCCAACAAAAGTAGTTTTAAAAAACCAACAAAACCCCCCAACTTAATAAATGTTTAAGATCTCTTTTGCACATTCTCATTTCCTGTTATGAAAGAACTCCATAGTCACTGGTAATCTCTGGCTCCAAAATTTGCTTTGTCCAATATTTATACAGTCACTTCAGTTTTCTTTGAATTCGTTTTAAGACAGTATATCCTTTTAAATCTTTGTGTGTTTGACCTCCTGTATATTTAAGGGAGCGCTGGTAATGCAGTGGTTATGAGTTGGGCAGCTAACTACATGGTCAGCAGTTCAAAACCACCACATGCTCTGCAGGAGAAAGTTGAGGCTTTCTACTTGCATGAAGTTACAGCCTCGGAAGACAATAGAGGCAGGCAATTCTATCCTGTCCTATAGGATTACTACTTGTTGGAATCAACTCAATGGCAGTGAAAATATATTTTTACCTTGCAGGTAAATACGTACCTTGCAGGCAGTGTATATAGTCAGTGTATAGGCAGTGTAGAGTTATGTTTTGTATCTAATTTATTAGATTTCAGATTCAATATTTTCAATTTCCAGTATTTATAAATTTTGGCAGTGTTGAATTCAGATAGATGGTTAATGTTACCAGTCACATAGCACTCTAATTCAAATCCCAGCACTCACACTCTCATTTCACTCATAATATAATATTAAGGAATTTATAATGAAAAAATATTGAAGAATTTTCAGAACATTGTTCATGTTTATCAATACCTTGCTAAAGGAACTTAATCCATTATTTTGAAATAGTTGCAACAGCGAACTGAGAGGAGGAAATATGATTAAATGCATTTTTTTACCCGGATATGATCTTTCTTTTTAAAATCATTTTATTGGGGACTCATACAACTCTCATCACAATGCATTTATAGGTGGATGGTACTTTTATTAAGAAGGTTTGGGGAAATCTGTGGAAAAGGATGTGCTATAATTGAAAACAGAATGATTGCCTAACTTATGATTGCATAAATCCCCACGTAGAAAATAGTGTGGAATTATATGGAAGTGAAAATGAATATTTTATTATTTATTAATTGTCTTCTGGGGCAAAGAATAACATATTAAATTCAATACCCTATGGGAGAAATAAAGCACTTCAAACACTGTGTTCAAAACCAGTGTTTCTTCTTTTTCTCTTGCATATATGTTTTACATATATGTTTTAATTGATTATTTTTTATCTTAAGTGATTTGGCCAGAAATTTGACATTTCAATAAAGCTTTTGAGGAAATGATTTCAAACCCCCACTCTTGTAACTTTCTGTTTCAGTAGCGTTTGCTCTCATTTGCATCATTTCCTTTCTTCTACTTAGTTAGAAAATGTTCTGTATTTACTACTGATTTGTAAGTCAGGTATTTAGCTTGCTAATTCTTTAGAAAACTTTGCTTTCCTAACCTAAATATGTCAGGCTATAAATTATTTCAAAAGTATCATTTTAGTGGCTTTTCATACTTTTGATTAATAATATGTATTGCATATGCCCCTTCAGAATGTATGAGATCTCATTGGTATTCCAGAAAATAAAGGTGAGTTTTTTCTGCACTGATAATCTGTTTTGTCATTTTGTCTCGACATCTTGTGATCTGCATATTTGTCATTCAGGTACTATAAAACATTTTTAAAGTCACACTAACAAATCAACCAAGCTTTTGCATTAGATATGAATTTCTTAAAATGCTTACACTGAAATATGAACAGCTTGGCAAATCAAGTGGTGAAGAAAGCGTCCTTGAAAAGCATGTGAAACACTAGTCTTAATTTTCTTACACTAGGACATTTCCACCTTAAATATTTTCCACCACTATTCACTATCCAAAGCACACCCCAGATTTATACTTGCCACAGAATAACATCTACTTATATTGTCATCACCCTCTCCATTGTTTAAAATAGCAACATAAGAGTGACTAAAGTTTCTGGCAAAAATAATTTATTGTTAAAATCACCAACATTAAATATTTCATGCATTTCTGTTTTCATATTTTTATCTTACGTTTTACCAGAATTTTCTATTGATTTCAGTTGACTTTATGGCTTTAAGGAAAACCAAATAAAACAGAAACTTTCTTAATATGTGCCTTGTTAATTCCATCAGACAGATTAGAACCGTGCCATATAGCTTCCTAAACTGTAATCTTAATGAGAGCAGATGTTCGAGGTATTTCTTCCTATGGAGCTACTGGTGGCTTGGAACTCTGGCCTTTTGGTGAGAAGCTGGGCACTTTACCATTGCACCACCAGGATCTCTTTTAAAGAGTCTTAATATAGCCAGATATTGAATATTGGAAGATGTCTAGTGCTATCAATGCATATTGATTCAGTTGATTTCAGAATATTTTTGCCATGCTTTTCTAATTTGCTGGGATTAATTGATATAAACCAGTTAAACCAAACATACAACTTGCTAGATATTTTTCCTGATGTGTGACACTCCTTTTTCCCTAAGGTTACGTTAACAGGTAATGAAGGTTATCAAGAAAACTGATGCCACCTGGTAGGATTCAGTTTTGTGAAACCATTCTTCTCCTAAGTGGATAAGCTATGTAGACACTTTATTTCTTGGTTCTGTTTGACTTGTGAATTTTATGCCACTTGATACCCTGTTTCTCATTACTTTCATATCCAACTTCTTGTTTGCAAGGTTAACACATCCATTCTTGCTGCTTAGGTCTCCTTTTTCAGAGATCATCTTATCTTGACCCAAAACTCCTTGGTCAGTGCCCTCCGAAGGGCCGCTTTCACATCCTTGTTCCTGAGAGTGTAGATAAATGGGTTAAGAGTAGGTGTAACGATTCCATAGAAGAGAGCCATGATCTTCCCTCTGTCATGAGAGTAGCTAGAGGGAGGCTGGACATACATAGTGATGGCTGTGAAGTAGAAGAGACACACCACCAGCAAATGGGAAGCACATGTATTAAAGGCCTTCCAGCGACTTTCTGCAGAGCGGATTTTCATTACTGCTCTACCTATGAAGATGTAAGTGCCTGTGATAAGGGCGAGAGGCACCAGGAGAAGCAAAGCCCCTAGGACATTGAGCTCAGCCTCATTCACACGAGTGTCTGTGCAGGCTAGTTTCAAAAGGGCAGGAACTTCGCAGAAGAAATGGTCCACCACTCTCCTTCCACATCTTGGAGTCACCACTGTGAGCGTAGACTGGACAAGGGAGTTAGCAAAGCCACTCATCCAGGTCCCAGTGGCCATGTGGATACAACGCCTCTGGTTCATGATGATTGGGTAGTGAAGAGGCTTGCAAATAGCAGCGTATCGATCAAAGGCCATGATAGCTAGCAGGATACACTCAGTGGAACCCAAGGCCAAGAAAATATAAAGTTGGGCAATGCAGCCACCGTAGTTAATGGTCTTTTCCGGTCCCCTGAGGTTGACTAGCATCTGTGGAACCGTGCTGGTGGTGTAGCAGAGATCCAGAAGGGAAAGATTGGAGACAAAAAAGTACATGGGACTGTTAAGCTGAGGATCCAGCCGGGAAACTAGGATAATGGAAATATTTCCAAATAAGGCAAAGATGTAAGCCACCAGAAAGATAACAAAGAGTGGTGGCTCAAGCCAGGGGTGGTCAGAGAAGCCCAACAAAATGAAATCATTCAGGGAGCTCTGGTTGCTGACCCACATGTTGCCACTATTAGATTAACTTTCAGCTGAGACCTCTAAAAAGCTACTCGTGCAGTTGGGGGTCAATTAGAAAAGAAGAAGGCACTGAGAATTGGGAACCAGATACTGAAATGAAATTCTCATTTCTGCAGTAATCTGCGTCTGTAGCATGATTATAATAAAAGGACGTCATTTTCACTTATACATATGATTACGGTAAAGTGTTGAATCAGCATGGTCAATTCTATATGGAAATATTGTTGCGAAAACCAGCAAAGTCATTCGGAGATTTTGCTTTATCCATGGGTGTCTTATTATTGAATACTTACTCCTTTGAGCTTGTGATGTCTTCTCTTCTAGAGAGTTTCAATAGGACTACCCTCAGTTCAACATGTCCTGGATGGCTAATGGTCATGCCTGAATGATGACTTACATATTAGGAGAAAGCAGTGCTTCTTGAAGCAAAGGCCAGCAGCCAATGATATGAAGACAGCAGATAGATCAGCAGCCGAGGACAGCACCAAGCCATCTTGGCATCTTCATCTTCTTCACACTGACCCCAGCCAAAACCTCATCGAAATGGAGCACTTCGGAAACACTGTGCCATGAAAGGATGGGATGCCAGGGCTCCTTTGACCCCTTCCAATCTTCAGCTCTGTCATTTTCATGAGAATTGGAAAAGAAGAGAAAACCACAAAAGAAACAAAATAAAACCACATATGTATGTATGCAAAGCCAATTAAATTCAGAACTTTGCTCGCTATGAAAATGTTATTTAAAAATATCTTGGTAACCTTCGTGGGATTTCACCTTGAGAGAAATTACCAGAAAGAGTTTGAAATATTTGGCTCCCTAAAATTTGGGACTATGTACCTTATAATTCCTTAGGACAATCAATATCACATATATACATAAACATTTCCCCCAACTTTTCTCATTTTATTCCTGTTAGTTATATACTTTTTCCACCCGAGGTTCCTCTTTCTTCCTCTTCCCCCATGCAATCACACACTACATGTCTGACATAATATCTGAAGGTTATATAAAAATGACCACTTTTTCCTTTGAATTCCTAACTTAAAACAATTCTCATGCTATGATAAATTTGCCTTATTATATTCCCTTATGCTTCTTTTAAAAGGCATTTTCTTTCTTGTTATAAATAAAATAATTCCATTTACTAGCTATGTGACTTTGGAGAAATCATTTAAATTCTTTGGGGGAAATTTCCTCATCTCTAAAATGAACACAATTATATTTCGTTTATAGAAGTAATGTGTAGATTAAGTGATGTCATATAAACTCCATATGCAGTTCAGTTCTTGCCACAGGCTAATAATTCTATAATCAACTATTATTCATGATGATTTAATTGAATTATGTGCTCCACAGAATGTTGCATTTTCCTTATTTTCGTGCATCCACGAGTATAAGAGTAAAGAGTAATATATAGAAAATAAATATTTACTGAGTGATCGTAAACATGATTTGATTACTAAGAAATCAGTCACTGGATCCTCTGATTATTTCTTTTTCTGATTCTCCTAGTTGATCCTTCATTATAGTCGCTGTGTACAGAGATTCCTATGTAATGAGATTAGTGAACTTGGTGGGCTGGATCTAGACTTTTAGTGTTAGGGTCATCTAATTCATTAGAGATTATGGAAAGAGGAGTGCCAGTGAGAAGCAGCCCAAACCTTTGAATTAAATCCAAAAATTGAGTTCATTAATCACCAATATCCCAATTGTAATCTCTTCATTTTGTTTACAGACAGACAGTTTTCTTGGTATTCAGCATATGACCCTATTCTTTGCTGTATAATTATGTATCTGTCACCCAAGTTGTCAAACAGAACCAATTGTACTTTACTATTATCACTCACAGATGTCAATTAAACATCTATCCAAAACAAAGCAGACACATAAAAAGTTGTTCAATATTTCATGGTCACTAACTATTACACGTATCTCCCAACTTGTACTTGTGCTCACATTTTCAAAACACCCTAGCATGTTTGGAGAAAAAGTCCTTCCTTAGTTTAAATTAATTATGCTCAGCCTAGATCAACCATGTCAGTGGCTCTCCAAATTCTAATGGAGTTGTTATCCTTGTTAAGTGCTAGCACATTTTATTTTTCTGACACATATCAGTCCTACATATAATGAAACCAAACATGGCCCAGTCCCGTGCCCTCTTTCTTCTGTTTGATCTCATTGTTGTAACCACTGTGTCAATCTATCTCTTTTAGAGTAGTGTTTATTTTTTGCTTTACCAAACACGATGTCTTTGTCCAGGACTGGCCCCATCTGATACCATGTCCAAAGTACGTGAGATGAAAGGCTCGTTATTTGAGAAACACTCTGGATGTACTTCTTCCAAGACAGATTTGCTTGTTATTCAGACAATCAAGGATACATTCCACATTTTTAGCAAATACCAACATTAAAATGCATGAATTTTCTTCTTTCGTCTTTGTTATTCATTGCCCCACTTTTGTATGTACATGAGGCTTTTGAAAATAACACGGCTTGTGTCAGGAGCACCTTAATCCTCAAAGTGATATCTTTGCATTATAACACTTTAAAGAGATCTTTGTTGCAACATACTTGCCCAATGAACACTTGTTTGACTGCTGCTTCCATGGACATTTACTGTGGACCCAATAATGAGAAATTACTTACAATTAGAGAAGTTATTTATTTATTTTATTGTTGCTGATTGATCCTCTGATGAGCATTTTGCTTTCTATGTGTTAATTCTTTATCTAGGAATTAAGTGTTGGTTAACAAATTTACATAATAGCGAGATCAACTTGTTTTCCTTAAAGGAGTATCATTTATCCTTTGTCATATCATTTCTAGCACGATATTTCAGGATATTTCTTGGAATGTTCTTTATTACAATGATCACAGCACCATCCCTTTTCAATTTGTCATTTTCACATAATAGAACATAAGATTATCCAATTCACAATAGCCAAGAGCAGTCTATTTTAGTTCAGTATGCATATGATACCTATCGTCAAGCTTTCCATTACAGTTTTGATAGTTTCCAATTCTCCTAGATTCTTACTTCATACATTTCACATTCTATTTTTTAATTAATGTTTGTATCTGGGTTTTTACATTTGTTTTGAATTGTGGTCAAATCAGCAAACGCTGATCTGCAAAGCTTGTCTTCATCTACGTTGAAGTTGACTTTACTTTGAGGAGGCAGCTCTTCCTCAGTTGTGTTGTGAGTGCCATCCAAGCATATCAGATGAAAAGTTATGTTAAATATTTTATTCTGCCCAACTTTACTAATGCCACATTTTGAAAAGTAAGGTTCACGTGCCCCAAGCCATGGTCTTTTAAATTGACTGAAACCCATGCGAAAGCTGAACAATGAATAAGGAAGTTCAAATTAGCAATGCCTTTGAATTATGGTATTGGCAAAGAATAGTAAGCCTTCTGTGGAGTGACATAAGAAATCTTTCTAGGAAGAAGTCCACGCGAAAGCTTCTCTGAAATGAGAAAGGCAAGACTTAGTCTGATGACATTGACATGTCATCAGGAAGGTCTAGTCCCTAGAGACAGATACCATGCTTGGTAAAGAGTCACAGAAGAAGAGGAAGACCCTTGATGAGATATACTTTTACCTGGCTGCAACAGTGGGTTCAAGTTAAGTATGTAATTGTGCGGATGATACAGGACTGGGCAGTGTTTTCTTCTGATGTACATAGAGTTGCTGTGACCCCAGGCGATAGTACCTGATACCACCGCCACCACTCTAGAAAAACAGACAGCCCCATTTTTCCCATACAGAGGGGCTGGTAGATTCAAACGGATGACCTTTGGATTTGGTGTCAAACACTACCTGCCTTGCCACCAGGATTTATAGTTATTTACTATGTATTTATTCATCTGAATGTAAATGAAAAAGATTCTTTCTTATAGGTTACATTGCTTTAGCATCTTTAGACTGTTCTTCCTATTCATACATGATCTAAGTCAGTTTCATGAACATCATTTGATATGTCATCAAAGCCAAACGTGGAAACTTCATTTAATTTTGCATTTCCAAACCTCAGCACCAAAGCAGAACTTAAACATGTGCCATTTTACTCTTATCTCCTAAGCATTTTGAGGGTTTTATTGCTAAATTCTCAAGTGATTTCAAATCATAATATAATAAGTACATTCTTTTACTTACTAAAAAAATTCAACATTATTTGAATATGGAATTTCATTCCATTCTGACTTAGTTTATTGACCTAATAAAAAGTGAATTAAACACCTGCATATAAACTGTATAGTGCTTACATGAGACTATTGTATGATTTTGAAAGGTGACTTTGAGGAGACCAGTTTCTTCAAGGTGCAAGGTTCAAAGATCATCTCAGGGTGATAGCTTGGGTGGGTCACCCAGATTTCCATAGAATCTAGAAATCTGAGTTCCATTACAATTCACGCTGTTTCTCCAAATCAAAGGAATGAGACAAGATCCTGTAATAACTCAGTTACTTATTGGAAAGGGCGCTTGATCTGTTCGTGCATTGCTGGCTGTATAAGAAAAGTATAAGAACTAGTGGAGCATTTCCTTTACTTTCTATTGCTGTAAAGTAATCTCTACTAATCCCCGAGGGTGGGTAAGTGGAACTGCGGAGACCAGAAGGCTCTGGGAATCTCAAGCGGATGGGATGGGCAGATGGCTGAGGTAGGAGTAGGGATGTATCTGATTCGATGGCTTTGGTAAAGTAGGGTTTGTTCTTTTAAGGTTTGTAACCTAAAACCTTCTTCATTAACTCTCTAAACTGTTATAGTATATGAATAAGACAGAGTAAAAACAATATTTAGGTGTTTGTTATACCTCTGATTTACTATACATAGTTATGCTGAATGTTATTTACAGGCCTTTGCTATATTTTAATCCCATATATGCTGTCAGACTCTCTTATTCTAAATTGTCAGAGGGCAAATGGTCTTTTTTATCTGAATGGTGAGGTTTTCAGAGCCAATTTTGGGGGGTATAATATTATCCA